CTTTTCATTTCAGTGAGGAAGGTCTGAGTCTATTAAATGTGAAGGGCAAGTGTCAGTGTTGATTTATTTCAAACCAAAGACAGCAGGAGAGGCTGAAGCCAGTGGTTTCCCCAAACCAAACGCACATTCCAGAGCAGTGGACGCAGCTACTTGTGCAACGGTCAGTGCGTGGGGAGGCCCCTGGGAGCCAGTTCTCCATCCTTACGCTGTGCAGAAGCAGAGAACACCTCTCTGAAGGTCTGAAAGTGCTAGAACCTTTGTCTCAAAGTTGATCCAGCTAAAACACGTCCCTAGGTATCCAAAGAAAGAAAGATCAACTACCGAGTCATGCAATCAATCACAAGAACCATTGCATGAAGAAGTGAGAGCTTATTAAGATGGCTCTGACTTTACATACAACAAAATTTAACTCACAATGACCCCTTCTAGGGGTGTTCAGCATTTCCACTGCTCCGCAGTTCTCATTATTCAAGGTGGAGTGTGTCTGCATGGGACAAACTTGGAGTCTGAGTTTTTAAATGAAGGAAAATCACTACCGGGTGGTTTACTGGTGCCTCGTGGTTAGAACCATCTGGCTTTCTGGGTTCTCTGTGTGTGCAAATACAAGCAAAGATACCCTTCTTTTCCCCCTTTGATCTGCAGTACTTTTACCTCACTACATACGTTTCACGAAAAAGTATTCTTATTAAAAATAAAGGTTTTATTTTCCCATTTCTAAGGTTGTCTCTTCTCTCTATTGTTGGTATTTTTCGCTGTGCAGAAGATTTTTAATTGGATTTAAGTCTGCATGTTGATTCTGGGTGTTACCGGGGTCCTGTTCACAAAGTGCTGACCTATAACTTACGTTTTTAAGATTTGTGTCTGTTTTAAATTCCAGCAGATGGGGTGTTTCAGATCTAGTATCTAAGTCTTTGACCTCTTCTGATTTGACTTAGTACAGGGTGAGAGATGTAGGGCCACATTCAACCTTCCGCATGTGGAAAGCCCAATTCCCTTCACCTTTACTAAAGGCACTGCCTTTTCCCTGGTGAATGTTTTTGGTCCCTTTGCCATATAGACCAGAGGGCTGAATGTGCCTAGGGTTATTTCTGCATCCTTGTTTCTCACTTATCTGTGCGTGTTTTGGGGCCAGTATCTTGCAGTTGTTACCACTGTGACTCTGTTATGTAACTTAAAACCTGGAATTGTCATGTCTCCTGCTTTACATTACTGCCCAAGGTTGCTCTTGAAATTCTGGTTCCATATAAATATTAGGATTGGTTTTTCTAGTCAGACAAAGAAGGCTTCCAGTATTTAGATTGGGGCCACATTAAGTCTACAGCTCATTTTAGCAATGTTGCACTTCTGACAATACTTTGTCTACCTGTCCTGAACAGGTGATGTCTTGCCGTTTTCTGGTGTGCTCATCAATCTCTGTTTTCAAAGTACCATCATTTTCTAAAATTTTTCTAGAGGTCTTGCACTGCCTTGATTAGATTAATTTCTATGTATTTAAGTTCTTTCAAGCTACTGTGAAAAGACTGTTTTCCTCAGTCCTTTCCAAGCAGGTTCATTGTTGGTGCCCAGGAACACTATTGATTTTTGTGGATTGATTTTGTATCCTGCTCTGTTGTTGAATCTGTTAGTTGTAAGTGTTGTGTGTTGGAGATTTGGGGTCTTCTTCACAAAGGATTGTCTCTCTGCCAATGAGGATACTTTGACTTTGACTTCTTCCTTTCATACATATTCTTTTTATTTCTTTCTTTGTCTTGATCATTACAGCTGGGGTTTCAAGTAATATAGGGAGCAGAATCAGTGAGACCAAACACCCTTGTCTTCTTGGGGGTATTCAGAGAATATTCTTTTAGTTTTTCTCCATTTAGAATGTTGTTGACAGTGTGTTTGTCCTGAATGCTCTTTGTTAGTTTCAGATAAAGACTTACGTCCATTTTCTTCAGAGTTCTTATCACGAGTGAGTGTTGGATTGTGTCAAAGTCTTTCTCTGCGTCTTTGAATTTTGTCCTTCCTTCCATCTGCGTGGTGTGGTAGTTACATGAACCGACTGCTCTGTAGTCCCTGCCCTGGAGGAAGCCAACCTGGCCAGGTGTGTGGTCTTCTATTACTACAGTGCTGCACTCCAGTTGCTGCATCTTGTTGAGGATTTGTGCACATTTGTTCACCAAGGAGACTGGCCTGTAGTTTCCTCTTTTACGTCCCTGTTTGGTGTTGGTGCCAGGGTGACAGCTTCCGGAGATGTTTGTGCCCCCCCCATTCTACATGACAGAGGAGCAAAGGCCCTAGATCTTCTCTCACATCCCGGAAGACTTCTGTGGTGAGTCCACTGTGTCTTGAGCGTTTTTCATTGTAGGGTTTTTACCACTGCTTCTAGTTCACTGCCTCCACTGTTATCTACACTTTCTGGGTTCGATTTGTGTAAATCGTGTGTGTGTAAGAATGTCTCCAGCTCTTTTAGATTCTCCAATTCAATGGAGTCTAAGCTTTCCAAATAATTTCTTATAATCCTCTGGATTTCACCATTGTCCATTATGATTTCACCTTTATCATTTTAATTTTATTAATCTGAGAAAGGATTAATAGTTAAAACATATGAAGAACTAAATAAGTAGACCCCCTCCAAATGAAGGAACCAATTAGAAATGGATAAATGAAATGAAAAGATGAAGAAGTAAGAAAGGCCAATATGCACAGGAGAAAATGTCCACCTTCGGCCCTTAGAGAAATGCTAATTAAACAATTTTGTAATTCTGTCTTACTCAAAGAATTCTTGTCTTGAAGAACTCATTATATAATTATATTTATTATATTGGCTGTTGGTTTTTCATAAATAGCCTTTATCAGGTTGAGATAATGACCACCAATTCCCATTTTCTGTAGGGTTTTTATCATAAATGTGTTTTTCTGCATCAATTGAGATGATCATATAGTTTTTGTCCTTAATTCTGTTGATATAGTATATTACATTTACTGATTTGCATATGTTGAACCGTCCTTGCATCTCTGGCATAAATCTGACTTGATCAGGGTGTATGATCTTCATGATGATCTTCTGTATTCTGTTTTGCCAGTATCTTATTGAGGATTTTTGCATCTATGTTCATTAGAGAGATTGGCCTGTAGTTCTCTTTTTTCCCTGGTCTTTCAATGGTCTTTCCCTGGTTTTGGAATCAAAGTAATATTTGCTTCCAGGAATGAATTTGGAAATTTTGCTTCCCTTTCAATTTCATTGAAGAGTTTAAAGAGTAGTTGTGATAGTTCTTCTCTAAATGTCTTGTAGAATTCAGCCATGAAACCATCAGGACCTGGGCTTTTTTTGTTGGTAATGTTTTAATTACATTTTTAATTTCATAGAACATACTTGGCATGTTTATGCTTTTTATATCTTCTTATTCAACTTTGCAAATTCACATGTGTCTAGGTATCTTCCCATTTCTTCTGTATTTTCCATTTTATTAGAGCATAGGTTTTGGAAATAGGTATTGATCCTCTAGATTTCTGGTGGATCTGTTGTAACTTCTCCTTTTTCATTCCCAATTGTATGAATTTGAGCTTTTTCTTGACTCTTTTTGATAAGGTTGGCTATGGGTTTATTGATGTTATTTATTCTTTCAAAAAACAATCGCTTTGATTCATTGATTTTTTTTTTGCATCATTTTCTTAGTTTCCATTGCATTAATCCCTCCTTTCAGTTTGAAGGAGTCTTTAGCCATCATTTTGTAGGCTGGGTCTTGTTAATGAACTCCTCATTTTTGACAGAAACTATCTTCAATTCTCCTCCCATTTCCAGGAAGTTTTGCTGGATATAGAATTGTCAGTTGGCAGTACTTTTCTTTCAGCTTTTAAATATGTCATTCCACCACCTTCACAACTGCACAATTTCTGTTGAGAAATCCTCTGACAATCTTCAGTGTTTCTTGTTTGTGATTTGTTCTCCTCTTCCTGTTTCAAAATTTCTTTGTCTTAGAATGCATCTCATTGTAGATCTCTCTGCCTTTATCCTTCTTACCTGGGGTTTGTTGAGTGCCTTAAATTTAGGCATCCTTTTTACCCACAAGTAATGGAATTGTCCATTTAAATGGAGTAGGCCACCACCATTACATGAATTGTCCAACTGCATGTTTGGGGTCATCGGTTGCTTTTCTACCTCAGTGCCAATGCAGAGAACCTAGCCCCTCAGCATGTGTCTCCCAGTTCACCTGTGCCCTTGCTGCTGTCCAGAGACTCCAAGAGTGGCACAGAATTCCACTGTCATGGTCAGCACGGACCAGTCCAAGGTGCAGGGGAGCCTCTCCCGGTCAGCATAGATGCAGGGCTCCCAGAGCACACGATGACCCCATGCGGGTTGAACCATGTGAAGCACACTTCTGGGAATAGAGAGGAAATTGCCCAGACTGAGGTGTTGTGGCGTAGATGTAGGAGTGGCAGCCCCTCCACCCAGTCAGCAAATAGTCCCTTCAGAGAACTTTTCTGAAACAGTTCAGATTCCAACAGGAGGACCAGCCCTTGTGAAGAGACTCAGAAGTAAGGAAGCACTGCCCACAGAGGCCAGGGCCTGCTCTCATCTGGATGAGTAGCACATTCTGTGTTCAGAGTGGCTTTATTGGAAGCTCCACTGCACTGACTTAAGCGCACCTGGAATCTGTATGGCTGTCCACAGGGAACAAACAAAGGCTCTTTCTCTTCCATGAGTACTGGCCACTTCCTCAACAGATCAGTGCCGTTTCCTTTTTTTTTTTTTTTTTTTTTTTAATCTTTATCAAGTTTATTGGTGCATTTTAGGTATCCAGCACAGTTACATTCATCACGGGGGTCTTGCGCCTTTACAAGACATATCAGATTCTTATTTTTCCCCATTCTGCTGCCCTCCCCTGAGCCCCTCCACCCTTAGGGACAGCTCCTGCTCACTCATGACCAGGAGAGAACTGCTTACACCTACCATGGGGTTACTCTGTACATTCTTCATCAGGCGCACTGTACTCTAATGCTGTATCTCTCCATTGCAGTGAGTCAAGGCGGCTCCTCCTCGGCCTCCGACATGTGTCCAGACCCTGGGATTCCAGAGAATGGCAGGAGAGCGGGTGCTGACTTCAGGTAGGAGACAAAGAAAAGTCATCTTTGTGAAAGCGTGACCTCGGCTAACGTGTGCTGAGTATGAACCCACCCACCACTCTTCTTCAACCTTTGTCCTCTCAATTTAAAGATGTGATGTCAATTATGATGCAGCTATATTATTTGTACAACTCTAAAACACATGGTACAAAAAAATTCCAGATATGCTAGAGCTGATGGCTTTCAGTATAGCAGCTAATGTTAAAACTTTAAATGTATGGGACAAAACTTGTCTTCAGAGCTGTTTTGCCTATTTTTAATACTGTCATGTGGTATTTTAATGCTTTTAATATTTAAAAATAAAAGGGGAATGTAATCATAGCCTCCTAATTGTTCCATTAAATAACCATTTAAAATGATGAATGGCACTTGTAGCCCATTGCAATTTATTCAGAGAATGCTGGGAATCGTTTTACTAAGACTGGGAAGAACCAGCTTGTGCACTCTGGCTTCTGTGTCACAAATCAGTGCCATGACTGTGGGGCTTTGCGTATCTCACAATCAGTTCAAGAAACTTCATATTTGCAGCTTTACAAACAGACCAGTGACAGGAGTGAACTACAAGTAAAAGAGCAAAAGGTCAGTTTTTCCTTGGGAGGATTTCACCGTTTTGAAAAACAGAAATGGAAGACTCGGGTGCAGTGAATTCCGCCCACTGTGGGGAGGTGAGGACAGAAGGAAAGCGGTGACTGATGAGGCGAGGGGGGAGAGGAATGCTGCTTCGTGAGAGGAGCATTTTCAGATGGAGCAGTTCAGAAACACAGCGGTTGCAGTGTGGCTGTCATGAAGTTGGTCCTAGGATTCAAGATTCTTTCTCCAATAACACAGCGCTAGAGATGGGATGTGTTATAAGAAAGCAAGTTCCTTTTAGCTCACGGTACTGAAGGGATGTGTTGCGGGGAGGCTTCTGTGATGGCTCCTCGGCACTGAGCCCCAAAGTGCTGCACGATATCACGGGGCCAAGGGTGGGAGCATCTGTGTCTCCAGGCCTCTCTTCGTCTTACCCAAGTACAAGGGTTCAATCACGGGCTTCTGGTCTAAGTGCCTTTCCAACACCGATCCTTTCCCAAAGGCCCACCTCTAATACCAGAGTCAGGTTAAATTTCTGCCCTCTTAATCCCACCACTGGGGTGGGTGTCGCTTGAGGGAGGCACTCCAGCTGCATCCAAGCCCTATGCTGCTCAATGCAGCCCTAATCACACAGGCTTTGTGAGGACCATGGCCAGCAGCTGCGGCGAATGCACGGAGTAGCCAGTGGTTTGTCACAACCCTGCAGGCAGCCTATGGCGGGGACACCCATGCAAGTGATTTTGCGCTTGTTCTTGTTGGAAAAGTGTTCTCTGGAGAAGGGGAGTCGGGAGATTGGGAGAGCAGGAGCCGACGGCAAAGGGGATCTTGGATTTCCCTGGGGCTGGCTTTGAGCCCTACAGAGCTCTGGAAAAGGAACGGCACCCACTTTCCTCTTTGCTTTTCTAATTATTTCAGGCTTCTGTATTTATTTTTCTAATTCCTTAAGGTAAAAGATGAGGTCCGTGATTAAGGCCTTTCTTATCTTAAAGAAGGGTGTTTAGTGCTGTGAATTTCCCTCAGAGAACTGCTTTGGTGCATTCAAGCAGCTTGGGTGTGTTTTTGTTGCTGTCATTGTCCTAGCTTTTTCATTTTCACGCAGTTCAAGCTCATTCCATTTCCCCTGTGGTTCCCCTTTTGGTTCTATGGATTGTGTGAGAGTGTTCTGTTCAGCTTCCAAACATCGGAGGATTTTCTGAGGATCACTGTGGTTAGCAACAGACTCTGTGTAACTCCAGTCCTTTCACATTTATCCGTAGTTGCTCTATGGCAGAGAATGTGCTGTATCTTGTGAAATATCTCGTGTGACCTTGAGAAGAGCTCTCATCATACTGTTGAGGGAAACATCCTATAAAAGTCTATTTAGAGGTAGTTATTTCTCTGGTCCTCAAGATGAGATTGTTGTCATTTTCCAGTTACTTGTTCCATCAATTATGTGGACAGACGGACATAAATCTTCCACTGCAGTTGTGGGCTTGTCTACTTGTCATTGCAGCTTCGTCAATCTTCACTTCATATATTCTGAAACTCTGTTAACAGGTAAAGAAGTGTTTAAAATTGCAATGCTTTTGTTGAATTTAGAGCTTTGATGTTATAAAATGACCCCCTTTTCCCTTGGTAATATTCTTTACTCTGAAATCATACTTGATAATATTATAAATTATCTCATCAGAAAAATCTTTGAAGTATATTGGGAAACTGTCAAACTCATGGTGATCTGCCACACAATTTCCAAAAATTCTAATTTTTATTACAAAACATTAATGTCACTGACTACATTGTGACAATTTAGTCACTGACTAAATTGTGTCTCCCTCTTTGAAGTAAAAGATGTACTTTTTATTTTATTTTATTTTATTTTATTTTTTGTACCAGGGATTGAACTCCAGTCCTTGTGCTTGCAAGGCAGGGCACCAAACCACTGAGCTAAATCCCCGACCCTGTACTTTTTCATTTTTAAGAAAATATCTGATAAATACTCAGATATTAGCAGTGGTAGCCATTATTTCAAATAAAGACATATTCAGTGGGGAGAAAGCTGCTATTTTGTCTCACAAATCGGACAATCCCATGTATTCTTCCCCCAAACAGCCCTGAGATCTCAGTGCGCACTGGAATCGCTTTACACACTTACAGGTCAGGATGTGGTCAAAGAAGAGCCCATTCCTGCTGCACCTAGGGCCTTTGGGGCCCAGGCCGTTGCTCTGCCAAGCAGGAAGCTGCTGCTGGTTGGTTTTGAGCAACCTCCTGTCGTTCCCAGCATCACTTCTGTGCCATCGGTGAAAATGGCAGCACAGTGGACAAGGCAGGAGACCCTGGGCCATCAGAGCCATGCTTGCTCCTCATAGGTTGCCTGAATGTGGGCTCTTCAGGGACCAGAGGGGACGGGTCTGAGCAGAGACCCTGGGTACCAAGCTGATTCCGGCAGCAGGAGGACCAGCATGGAGAGGCCCAGGAGCACAGGGACAAGAGAAGCGCTGTTCAGATGCTTGCTTCACTGCCGCTCTGGCCTGTCCCTTGATGGTGTGGGTGCGTCCGTGTGACAGTGAGGCCCGGTGAGTCCATGTATGGACACAGCCTGGTGGACACCACGTACCCTTGGAGGACGTACACATGACCTGCCCCACACTGAACAAAGTCGCTACCAAGTTTATGTTTCTTGCAGTGGGGGTGCTCTTAACTGCTTACAGTGTTTCTAAGATTACTTTTAATGAAGCCCCATTCAGTTCTTTCTAAATTCTTATAATAAAAACTAATGACTAACAGAATCCACACTAATGACCGACGTGGTCAGGATGAGTGGAGATATTCATTTGCATTTAGTTCTGCAATTATATGTAATTTAGGGCTATTTTCTCTGAAAAGAACTCACTTTAGTAAGTTGGTAAAATATTCTTCATCCCATTTTGTTTATACTGCTATTGTTTCCCAGAAATCTTCTTTCTCCTTGGGCAATCTAAAGATTAACCCTTGCGATGTCTATAAAGTATTCAAAATAAATGAAGTGTAAAACAGTAAGCTGTCTTGTTTGAATTCAGATCAGTTTGAGGACAGGGTTCTGATGGAATCCCGCACTGTCCACCACTATCTGAAAGACAGAGTAGATTCGCTGGGCCTAGATGTATCTGAGTAAGACTGATGAGAAGTCAGACGCTGCCCTATGAAGAGGAGGGGATGGGGAGTCAGGAGATGAAGCCCGGTTTCCGTCCCTTTCCTGTGCAGGTGAGAAAACCCGAGGGGTCCAGGGAGACACAGCTGTCCTCCATTTTACAAACAGAGCTGCTGAAACGTAGAGCGCTGCCCACCCTCGGAGTCTGTGTGTCAGGGCAGGTTCAGAGCTGGAGTTCCAGATCGTCGAACTCACCGGGGGCCCCTAAGGACCTCTGTGGATTGTTCCAAGGACAGTCATTATGACATCTGTCTTCCCACCACCCACGAGTGCCCGCTGGACACATGGGGCGCCGGCTTGTGGACTTTGCAAGGTGGAGGGCTGGGGAGCACGGGCTCAGCTTCCAAGCCCACGCAGAGAGCTGCTTGGTTTACACTGACCATAAGAGTGGGTGTAGGGCGCTAACCAGCCGGGGTCCACCCCGCTGCAGATTCTTTATGTATATCGTGTCTAACCTAAATTCTACCTTTCAGCCAGGGGTGGTGGCTCATGCCTTTGATCACAGCACTCTGGGAGGATGAAACAGGAGAATCATAACTTTTAATTCACCTTAGGGAGCTCAGAAACTTAGCAAGATTCTGTCTCAAAATAAATAAATCAATAAATAATAACAACAAAAATAAGGGCTGGGGAGCTAGCACAGTGCAAAGGTCCCGGGTTCCTACAAAAAAAGCAAAGAGAAAGTCTGCCCGAGAGAAGCATCTGCATCACCTCTAGCAGACATGGCAGCGGAAGGAGGAGCCCTGGCAGTCCGAGGTCCGCCGTGCCTGAGCTCCGGGCTTCTTCCTCTTTTCCTCTTGACCCTGCTCCTGAATCTCCAGGGGACGCCCTTGGCCACCGGCCCACTGCTCTGGCGGCTCCTCCCTGGACCGGGAGACCACACAGCTGGTGCCCCTGCTATCCTGTGTGCTCGGCCTCAGCTTATAGAGCTGCGGTCTCGTCCCTGCTCTGCTGACCCTGTCAGGCCTGTTCTTGGGGAGTAGAGCCCGCTCCTGCTGAACCAGATGCACTGCTCAGAGAAGCAAGCGAGACCCCTTCTCTGGAGAGCTCTGGACTGTTTGCTGTTCACAGAGAGCACATGTCCTGCTCCGACCTGGCCCCTCTGCTCAGGGCTCACAGGAGCCCTTCTTCCTCCTGCTGTAGCAAACCCCAGTCCGTGGCACCTCGTGTGTGTGGGCAGTGAATGGTGCTGACCACGAGGTCCTGAAGGAAAGGGGATGGGCCTTATTGATTTCAATATTACTCT